AAGGAGGGCGGTGAGATTTCACGCGCTAGATTACAGCCGGACGTGACCCTGGAAACTGGCCCTCACCTGGCCCTCTCCCCCTTTGTTAGGAGGCCCTGTTCTGCCTTGGTGACAGAATGCAGGAGGCTGAAGCCCGTCTAGTTCTGGCCAGGAGAGCAGCCCAGATTTGCTCCAGAGAACTTCCTCTCCCTGCACTTAACCCCTGCCTGCCTACCTCATTCTTTCCCGGACAAAGGGGATTTCATGAATGAACCCACATCCAGGGCTGAGAGCATGGCCCCAAGCATTGCAGATGCCTGAGCTGCTGTCCAGGACTGGTCTTCACGGGGGAGTGGGTGTGCACCAGGTGAGCTGGTCCAGGCCCGACTCATTACACTGGCATTTAGGGAGCTGTGGGCTGGGTCCCTAGAGTTCCAGACTGTCTGGACCTGGGGGTAACAGTGAGTAGGCAAGGAGCGCACTCACAGTCCCATGTGCTGGTACAGCTGACTCCCCCAAAAGCCTGCTTGGATGAGCTCAGCCCTTCTTCTCCACCACCACCACCCCTGGCATTAGAGACCTCAGTGAAACCACAAGCTGCTTGTTCCCAGGCAGAGGAAGGGGACATGAAAAACAGACAGGCACCCAGGTCCAGATCCCTAGTGTGCCATCACCATTCCAAGCTGGACAGTAAGTAACTGTTCCCATGGAACTGATCAATTTTGCTTAGAAACAAGATGGAATCATCTTTCCTAAGCTACTTGGTTTGAACCAAGTTGACCATGGACTGAGCCAGAGCACATTTCCAGATTATATACAGCTAATTTTGAAGACTTCTTTCTCTGTAGTGATCACAGATGCCAGCAGGGATCAGAGAGAAGGAAGAGACAAGTTCCAGGAGTGCCCACTGACCTAAGGACACTCCCATCACCCAGAAGTGGGAACGAGAAGCCATACATGGTATTTGTTTGTTTTGGGTTTTTTTTAATACATGGTTTTTTGTGGTTTTTTTTTCCCAAAGGTTTTATTTATTTATTTGACAGAGATCACAAGCAGGCAGAGAGGCGGGCAGAGAGAGAGGGAGAGGGAAGCAGGCTCCTTGCTGAGCTGAGAGCCTGATGCGGGACTCGATCCCAGGACCCTGAGATCATGACCTGAGCCGAAGGCAGTGGCCCAACCCACCGAGCCACCCAGGCGCCCCTAATACATGGTTCTTAAGGCCCTCCCCTGGGCTGGTGGGACCATGTCTCTCCGATAAGCATGACTCTGAACAGCCAGGAGTTGGGGCTCCCTCAACCGCAGTCCCAATCCCTCAAGACACATCAGTACCACATCAGCATTGCCCTCCACCTCCTTCCTTGAATTCCATGGTGGCATCTCTCTAAAAGTTTATATAACTACAAACTGCTAGCCTCCCATCCCAGCCCCAACTAAGGCCAGCTCCAGACAAGAGTACGTACAGGGAGGAGGACGAAGGACGGACGGGTCTACAGCTGAATGGCCCAGAACCTGCAGGTGAGAGAGACGGTGTTCCTCCAACCCACCCAGAACAGGACAGATGAGCTAAACGAAAACCCCACAGGGAACTCCAGACAGAAAGACTGCAAAGATGGCAGCTTCTAGCACATGCTTTTGATTACCAGTGATACAGGCAAAGCTCTGGGAGCAAAATCCTCCCGCTTCCACCACCGGGCCAAACCTAGAAGCTTCCCCTCTGCATCAGACCTCTCCCAGGTGGGTCCTCCCCAGATCAGGACCTGCTCCAGCAGCAAGGGCCCACTCTGAAGCTCCATGCCTTTCAAAAGGCACCACACACACAACCGAACTTGGGGTTGCCAAATCAGGGCCCAGAACCAATCCACAAACAACCCCCCCCACCCCCAAAGCGCATATCCTTGTGGAACAGCTGCTCTGCCATCCACCTACCCCAGGTGAGGGGAAGGAAGCCAGGCCTCTCCCACAGCCCGCCTGGGGACCCCGGCCTGCTTATGCGCCGGTGCACAGTCGTCTATCTGTACGTCTGCCGCACGCACACGCACACACGCAAAACCATGCACCCAGCAATCCATCTGTCTCAGAGAGCCGGCTGTCAGAAATGAAAGTACAATCTCCTGGAGCCAAGTCCCAGCCTTCTAAAAATGTGCCGTTTTCCCAGACTGAGGAAACTTGCAGGGGTGGGGCGTGTTTCACTGCGAAGTCCCGAAGGCCTGGGCCCATCGCCTCCCCGGCCAGACCCAAGCGGCAAGGCTGGATTCCAAATGCAGGCAGCGGGCTGCACCCAGGGCTCCCAGCCACCCACTCCCCTTCCCCGCAGGAGAGGGCAGGGCCAGCCTCGGAGTCACCCCGGCAGTTCAGGAGGGAATGCCTTTGAGCACACCCCCACCCCAACCTCCGAGGCACCACATTTTCACATGTGGCTGTTTTTCCTTTCCCTTCTTCCCTTGCCAAGAGAATCAAGCTCTGGCTCCCGCTCCCGACCTTCCTCCCACCCTAAACTGAGCCCCATTCATGAAGCCTGCTCTCAGCCAGGGCAGGACAGGAAGGAAAACAGCACACAGGGCCTGTGAAAGGCGCACGCACGGAGGTTATTTCAAGGGGGAGGAGGGGTAGATCCTGGTGGCCACTTTCACCGCTCCTCACCTCGACTGCCGCTTGCCCCCCCCTTCCCGAAGCAGGCTCCCACCCTCCAGCCTCTGCTGACCCCTTCCCTTGGGCAGCCTCGTCCCACGTGGCCACGGGCCCTGCCCCATTCGGCCACGCCGCCGCCACAGCCCCCACCAGCCTCATCCCCCAAGGTGGACACACCCAGGCCACCCCCCTCCCCTGATGGAAACATCAACTTGGGAAGGAGGACGTTTGGGCTCCCTCCATCTGCAAAACCCTCACCCTGGACCCCGGCCATTAAATCATCTTTTAGGAGGCACTCTCGCTCCAAAGGGCATAGCTCCGGGCTTTCTCCGTGCCCATCACCTCCCCTCCTGCCACCCCCAAACCACTGGGCACCAACCCAAAAATCAAGTTTCTTCAATTTCCCCACACAACACATTATTAATAAACTGCTCCAACTCTGGACGGAAAGAAGAAAGAGCTCAAACTTTGAAGCCTTGGGAATTAGTAAATTAAGAGCTAAAATTCAAAACAAATGCTCTTTCATGTGGGGGCCCCCTGGTCTTTTTCCTTTTGCAGTTTGGTTAAACCATTGGATCCCTTCAGAGACAACCACTCCTCCCTAGCAGCTCCTTAGTGATCTAAATGGTTACAATTACCTTAGGGGGTAGGGATGGGGACAGCAGTTAAGTCACTGTTTTACCCACACACCCCTCCCCCCGTTTGGGGAGGGCTTTGGGAACGTTAAGTCAAGCGCCCACCCATCTCCGACGGGGCTGCCTGGGGCATGCTGTGCTGTCGTTTGGCTCTTGGGCCAAGGGAGGAGGAGAAGCTCGGGCTGGTGTCGTCACTTCCCCCAGCAGAGGAGACAGACAAGATGTTATCAATGAGACAACTCTTCCGAAAAGCCCCCCCTTTCAAACGCTACCACTTCCCTTGCTATTTCATGTGGTTCGAAGGGGCTGGGGATCCTCCCTACACGTTCAAGATCTAAAAAATAATCCCATCTAACAACATCCTGAGTGTGCTCTTTTGCCCAGACCCTCTCTCCTCTTCCTGGCCTTCTTTCTTTCAGGAACTTTCTCGGTCTTAGAAAGCAGAGAAGACGCAGTTCACACATTCCTGCAAGTTGCAAGTGCTCCCCGCTTCACGCTTCCCCGCTGCGGTCCAGCCCCGTCCTCAGGCCTGAAGCCCCGCCCCCTCTCCAAGTGCCCCTCTCCTTCCTGCTCACTCCTCATTAGGAGCTTTGTGTAAACAAAACCCTCCGGTCCCAGACAACAGTCAGAGTATATACTGCGCTGAAATAAAAACAAACAAGGGTCTTCCTAAAGGCGTCCTCCAAGCTCGGTTCCTGGGGAGAGCCTAAGAGGGTCTGGCTGGCCGGGATGAGCTGAGCATGACTGTGGCATGGAAGCAGCGCCTGATTCCCAGAGGTCACCTCACAGAAGGGGGTACACTACTAGTACCCCCTGGAGATAAATTCTACTGCTTCCATCCAAGCCGCCATGATCCTATACCAATGTCCCAAAGCAAGAAACGACAAATGCATGGAACTCTGTGGAATTTCTCCCCCATCCACCCTACCCCCACCCCCAGTCTACTTTGCCTCTTGCTCTAGCGAGCTCTCAGAAAACCCGGTGATGCCATACTGGGGTGCGAAAATCAGGTGTAAACCGGATGTCTTCGGAAAAAGAGGAAAATGCTTCCCACTTACACTGCTAATGAGTTTCTCCAAGTTTATGACTCTCTTCTCCTGCCTCTGAGGGACAAGGATGCTCGGCTCCCCAGTGCCCCTCCCTCAATCCCGTGACCCTCCAGCACTGGCATTCCAGGACCTCCAGCAGCTCATGGACCCTAAGGAAAAGCTTCCCTCCCAGGTAAGTCCTGTGAGCTCTACAGTCTGCCGGGCCTCCATCCTGTGGCCCCCGGTCACAGATATGCACTAAGCTAGACCGGGAACGGAAACTTTCACAGAGGCATGAAGGACATCTATGCAGAATTCCCACCCTACACTTGAGTTATCTCTGCAAGTTCCAGAAAGGTGGATCCGTCCCTTTCAAGCTGCTCAATACACGAAGGACAAGTTGGAAGAAGATTTAAACCCATCAACTAATGAGACCCAAGTCAGCCAAGTACAACCCCCGAGCCAGTAGCTTCTTTCACAATTAACCAGGAAACAGCACCCCGCCAGGCCGCAGCTGGCCCCCACTTCCTCATCCACGGAGCAGGCACAGGGGACCACAGGATGACCAGCTCAGGGGCCCGAGTCAACACGGATGCATCCAGTTTAAGCACATACAAGTGAGAATTAATCCCAGACCCATGGGGACAGCAGCAGGCCACCCCCATTCCTCCAGCATCCAGTCATTTCAAGGTCTTGAAACTGCCAGGAAAAATAAGGGAAAATGTCTCACCTGAAAGCCCCCCAGGGGCCAGATAATTCGTTCCCCCTGTTTCAGCGGAGGAAGGCACAGCATCTGGACAGTCCGCTGTGGATTTGAGAATAAAAGAGAAATAAATAAATACACAAATAAATAAAAACACCAAGATGAATTTTTAAGCACATTCAAAACAGCTTTAAAGAGAAACCACACATTCCAAGCAGCTGACTCCTGCTGCGACGCTGATTATTAACGGACTGCTCAGGCTTCGCTGCCCATGGCAAGACAGACCACAGCACCTTGTCACCCGTCTGGGCTCCGGGCAGCCAGTTAATCATTGGTCAAGTCAGGCTCCATCACAGACTGGCTGGAAATTTCTCTTTTATTGCAAATCCCCCATTGAGAAAACCAGGTAGTTCCCAAGGTCAAAGAACACCAGGGTTCTGTTCTCAACCCCCACTGCGGTCTGCCTACCAGCTATCGCTCGATCAAGGGTGAAGACTCTTTGCTCAGATCCTGGGGCCTCTCTGCTGCTCCCACAGACCAGTCTCTCCCTCATCTTGTAAAAGACAGACTTCCCAGTTCTTTAGGACTTTTTCAAGACTGCCCTTGGGCTGAAAGTCCTTTTTTTTTTTTTTTTTTTTTTAATGAATCTTATTTATTCGAGGGCCACATGGAAAAGCAGGCTCCCTGCCCCACGCCTCACTGAGCAGGGAGTCCAATGTGGGGCTCGATCCCAGGACCCCGGGATCATGACCCGAGCCAAAGGCAGACGCTTAACCAACTGAGCCACCTAGACCCCAGCTTTTCCCTTTTAAATTGACATACTAGTATGGGAAAGCGTACACATCTCAGAACAACCCCATGAATCTTACTCGTGTACACGCCTGCGTAAAGCCACCACCACCCGATCAGGACAGAGAACATCTCAAGGCTCCCAGCTGGAGGGGAAATATTCTACCTCCTTCCAGGGCTGGTCCTTCCCGGGCAGCCCCAGATCTGTAAGTCTCCCCCTTCCCTGTTCTCGGCTCCCATAAAATCTTTCCGGCACCCAGCATTTGGGAGTTCCCTTCTGCCGTCTTTGCAGATCGTTTACCTTCAGATTCCGCCTGTCCTAGCTAGACTAGAAGCTTCTCTTCAACATCTCTGTCACCCTCGGGAGCTCTGCACAGTGACCCGAACGTTCACGAGGATCATTAATGACGATTCTACCTGAGAAACAGACTCGACAGTCTCCCTCCAAGCAGCTAAACCAAAAAATAATGCCTCCGAACCACAACTAATTACACCATGAAACAAAGATACACAAGACCCTGTAAGCTCTGTCACGCACCACTGCCAACGCCAAACTTCCAGAGAGCCCTAGGAAAAGGCCGGCTCAGGAAAGAGGCTTCCTGTGTCACCCAAGCACACAATTCCAGCCCCCCAACCACCCCAGGTGACCAGCAGCATGTCCCCGGGGTGTGTCCTAACCAGCTTCCCACTGGATCCACTTGGCCAGATGGGCCAATAGAAGCCAAAGTCAAGAGCAGCCTGGAGGCAAGGAGCCCATCAGCAGTCTGTTCCCCCCCTCAAAAAAGAGGTGGGGGGCCGAGCAGGGCTTACACAGGACCCCAAAACCACCACCTCTTGGTTTCTCCCACCTGCCCTTCCAACTACTAATCCCAGGACCTTCCCCCCTCCCTTCCCACATGCTCCTGCGTTTCTCTCTTTGTGGCTGGAAGAACAACTTTTCAAAAATTCTCACCAGGGGAAGGGGGAGCGCAGGCGCCGCAGCGGTGGGCAGGGGAGAGAGAAAAGACTGCGTGTAATCTCGTTTTATCAGGGTGAAGTGTAATTCCTAACAGGAATATACAGTTTTACAGGATACACTTAATCAAATGCAAAACAATAGGGGGAGCAGGAAATGGAGCTGCTTGTTAACTGGTGGAGACCCTGCACTTTCTAAACTACTTTGATGGCCTTCACCATGTTCTAGAGATAGGCCCTACCTATCCACAAGCGGAAGACACACCTCCCCCACCCCCGTTAAAGATGACGACTGATCCACGGCCACGGCCCCCTGCCCTCCTTCAGCTTTGGCTGGCTGAGTCCCAGGGGCCAAGTGTGTTTCAAAGGAAGAGCCCAGCATCTCGGGGCAGAGCTGGGGCCACATTCAGGGTGTCAGCCCGGCTCAGATCAAAGGTAAGCCAGGTCGGCACCGCCAACCACAAGCGTTTTTATGAAATGGTGCTCTGCCCTTCTACAGAGCCTTTGATCTCAGGAGGGATTTACAAACATTAATTAGGCCTCCCTACCACCCCTGTGAAGTAGCAAAGTATACCTGTTCGACCCGCACCCAGGTAAACTGAGGCGTCCCTGACAGTCCAAGGGGCCACCCAGTGAGCTGGGCCATGCCCAAGAGATCAGCGCTCATCTCGCCCTTCCCACAGCTCTCCCACCCCAGGCATCGCCGGTCCCCACAGGTAGTCAGGCCTGCGGGTAGTCAGGCCAACAGTCCCAGCATCCAGCCTGACCTCGAACTACACAGCCAGGTGCTCGCAGCTCATAAAGGTCCAAGAGGCCACACACCTCCATCCCTCACCCACTAAAAAGCTCCAGCAAGACAGACCTCCAAAGTTAGTGTCTCGGTCTCCACCCTGTGTCACCGCTCTCCAGAGCCCAGGCTGCACACACACACAGAAGTTCTAGGCCATTCCTGACTCTCATCCATCGTTAAACATTACCAAGCACCCAGTAAGTGCTGGGTTCTCCGGGAGGAAAAGACAGTCCTTAAAAGACGCAAACCTGGGGACCAGCCAAGGAACAAGCTGTTCAGAGGGGGTACAAGGTGAGGGAGCTGGAGATCCAACTTCTCTCACCAAGAGAATGGTTCCTGGAGAGCCTGGATGTTCTGTCAACTTAGTTCTGAGCTTTGTAAGGGGCACCAGAGCCAGAGGAGCTCCAACCCCGCTCCCCGCCAACCACAGCTGTACCCTCAATGTACCAGCTCTGCCCCCAACCACAAGCCCCATGAACCCTGGGGACAGCACAATCCACGGCATCAGAATCATTCACATTTTTAGACAGGCACATCACCAGGCCTGTAGAATGAATGAATGAACCAGTTAATGAGCCAATGAATGAATCATTTAACTCTTCACTCTTTGATCATCTAGATTTAAAGAGGTTCAGAAAAGTTAAAAGGCATGTGTTAAGAAGTAAAAACAGGGCTAGATCCCAGACTTCCCAACTACGCTTTGGAGGCCTGACCCACCCAGTGGGTACCGATCACCTCGGTCCCCAGCCTACTCAAGTAGTGTCTCCAGCAAGGACCCCCTCCCACCGCCCACCAGTCAAGCCGTCTGCGCCATCAGATACGATACGGAGGGCAGAGGGAGCCGACAGAGCACTCCCCTCAGCAGCCCCAGCCCATATACCAACTACTACTCTGAAACAGCACATCCTTATCCCTTGTGGGAAGGGAGGCAGTCTTCTTGACTTCAAATAGCCCCAAGTCCCAGCCATCTTGCCCCTAGGTTCAGTTAACGTCTAACTCTTTCCAGGAAAATCCTGCTGGTTTGGGACCACCCGGCACCCACGTCTAGAAGCTACCCCAGGATGGCTTGAACCACAGCAAAATAGGAGTTCCCAGCTTTAAGCCCTGGAGTTCCTCCAAAGGCCGCAGAGGTACCAGGCAAGCTGGAGACTTCCCAGAAGGGATTCTCTTAGCTGTGAGACTGGCTAAGATTTTAACAGTTGTCCATTGTAAAACCTTGCAACTGGTTCTCACCTAATCACCCAAGACCAAAAATCCAGCCTAGAGCTCAGACGCTTAAGAACGCAAGCAGCTGATCTCAATTCCCCAGCCAAGTATTCTCCTCCCGTGTGCAAAGTGAAGACAAAAACCTGGGGCAGCATCCCATCTGTGTGTGTGACTTCAAGGCCCGGGTCCCTGCCCTATCTCCAGCCCCACCATTCCCAGACCTGGCTGCCCGCCAGGGTATGAAAACAATTCTTGGGGGGGGGGGCAGTGAATGGTTTTGCCCCTTACCACCTCCTGTCCCTACACAACAGCTCCTTTTTTCATTCTTTTTTTGTTTTGTTTTGTTTTAAACAAAACGTTTTTGGGTGAGTAACCAGCTGTTTGAGTTTCCGACTGGCAGGCTAATCACTTCCTATTGGCTGATCTTGAAAACTTTTCTCCCCCTTGGAAATGGCACACTCCTGTCTTTGTGGCTTCTCTGTTTACACACATTTTGCTACCTAATGTCAACACTTGCTAATGAATAAATCTATCACTCCACTCACAGAAAATGAGGTCCTGGCCCGACAGGAGGACTGCCTGCATCCCATGAACGGATTTATCCTCATGTCCCTGCAGGAGACCCAAGACAACGACACCCTCCCTTCTATGCTTTCAGGTTTCCACAAGCATTTATCAACCCCTAGTAATCTTTACTCCTGGGGCCAAGGTGAATGGTCTTTCTCTCCTTTAAGGAACCCCTCCAGATGGGAAAGATGCACAAGTTAAAACCAGAACAGGGCAGAGATGGCCCCTTGTAGGACGAACCTCACGAACACTGGGTCTCGATGTCAAAAGCTCAGCCAAGCTCCGTTCTAGAACGGAGCGTCGTGGTGATGTTTGTTACAAATACACAGAGCCGGTTATCTCCTCATTAATGACCATTTATCTGGTGTTTTGTAAATCGAAAGCAAAATATCACGGGCTTTGCAGGCAGTGGTTAGCCCAGCACCAGGCAGGCAGCAACGCCTCCCGACTTCAGGGAGCAGAGGAGTCCCGGGAGGGCTGGCTGCAGAGCACGGGCTTCGGTTACACCGTTCATTAAAGTATTTAATTTATGACAACGCCCCAGCAAAACTTTTAATTAGCGGGGGGAAAGGCCCAACAGTCAAAACTCATGAGGCGGAAGGACTTGTGGAATTCCGAGAGAAAACTGGGGCCCAACCCTTCACGTCTCCTGCGCCCAGAACCTTGGCAAAACAAAAATGTCACAAGGGTTGCAGTTTTCAGGTACCAGGACATGGGCCTGAAGCCCCAGGTTACACACAGTCCCACAGGGGGTGAATCCCTTCCCCCCTCACCGTGCAAGAAGGGGCTCGAGGACACTGGGGCCCATCCCTGTTGGCACTCCCGAGCCCCAGTTTTTGCTGCCCTGCTGCCCCCGGCACTGTGTGCCCCAAGGGTGAGCCCCTGCCCAGCCGGCCAGCAGCTGAAAGCAGACGACCGCAATGGGGCTGGTGCCAGTCTCAAATGGGCTTCCGCTCTGGCCCCACGCCACCCAGTGACAACGCAACAGGCAGGCAGAGCTATGCTAAAAACTTGTGTAGTCTCAAGAATTCTGAGAAAACCCAGGGACAAAGTGACTTCCAGGTGTCCTCTGCTTCTGTCGCCTTTACTTGTTTTTGTTTTGTTTTATTTTAGAGCAGAGAAGTGTCCCAACCTACTGGCACAGAGGCATAGTAACAGAAAAATCATTTCCCTGATAAAACATGTCTACTCGCCAGGTAGGAAGGCTTGTTTAGAGATTTTCTAACCTCTTACTTTCAACCGAAGCCTTCCCTGCCCCTTTGAAACAGTCTTCCCTCTCCTCAAATTATCCATTCTTCACACTGACTCTTCTGGCACTCACAAGGTCTGCATTTTCCCAGCAACCTGACCTATTTGGCGCTGGAGACCCTCTGCGTGGATCAAATTCCACGTGTTAAAGCTGAGCCAACACTGGTGAGAGTGAAAATACATTGAAAAAAGAAAAAAGGAACAAAACGTTAAGGAACACCTTTGCAAAAAAGAAAATCGAGATATTCATTCACACACGCGCGCGCACACACACACTCGCGCGCACACACACACACACCCACCCCAGCCACAACAAAAACAGAAAAATCCACCAAACTTCCAACAGAGGAAGCCCAGAATCACCTCGGGGCAAGCCCAGCGCCTCCCCAGAGCCGCTGCCTCGACAGAACGATCCGCGGTCTAGAGGCTCCACGTCTAACTTAAGATAGGAAGGATATTTTTAAAATCATCCACTCACCAGTTGGTTTGAGAAAATCCATCGGGTATCTGGAGTAAGGAGGAGGGGGAGACTCTGGAATTAAAAAAGTAAGAGAAAATAAAGGCCGAGCCATGAGAGAGAGAGAGATAGAAACTTACGATAACAGAGGCATTCTTTCAGCCCAACTGTTTGTCTTAGCTGTGGGGGTTGGAGGAGGGCCGCGAGGCGGTGATTGCCTTGATATTTAGCTGTCAGATAAACAAAAGAGGCCGCCTGGCGCCAGCCTCGGCGCTCCGCTCCTCCACGTCTGCAGCCGCCCCGCCACCGCGCTGCGCCGGCCCTGCTGGAAAGCACCGGCTCGGCCGGGGCCGCGCACTTCACAGTTCACGGGGCGGGGAGGGACAAAGCCCCCTCCCCGTCCCCGACCCCGACCCCGCCCGCCCGCCGGGTGCGCAATTCACCCCCCCGCGAACCCCGCAACCCCCCGCCCCCGCCGCACACGCGCGCAGAAAACTCGGGGATCCCCTTTCCCAGCCCACCCGGGAGACGCGCCCCAAGTGCGCTGGCGAACTTGGGAGGATCTGCGGGAGCCCGAGGCACATCCCCAGCCGCGCACAGAGACGTGGAGAAACGGGAAGCGGTGGAAAAGGCTGAAGGAGGTTGGGGTCTCAGAAGGGAGGCCGAGGCTCAGAGAAGCAGGGGACAGACCACCCTACAGTCAATTCTCTGCTTTACTGTACTGGAAAAAAGGAAAAAGCTGGGGATACCCAACTTCTGACCACTGGCTCTTTTCCATTCTGGCTGGCGGACTTGAGAGTGAGAAACCCAGCTTGGCCTCCCATCCTAACACTCACTGCCCCAAGACCCCAGGGCTGCGCGGCCAGGGAGGATCCCGACGTGACTCTCCTTGTTTACTAAAGGCACAGAGACTTCCAGCCTCTACAGCTCGCTTCTCCCAACCTTCCTTGGCGGGCTTGGACAGAATCCAACTCGGCCACACACCTCAACGCTTTTCCGGGTGCATGGGAGGCGTGACCCCCACTTCTCTCTGCACCCCCAGCTGATATGGAAATGAAGACAACTCATTTTTAACCGCGTGCCTGGGAAAAATGTGCCGGGGCAATGCCCACAACCCACCTAGGGGCAGCAGAGGAGAAGAACCTGGAAGGGAACCCCCAGGGAATGCCCTTGCAGTTTCCCCGTGTCCTGTCTCTACTTTTGTCCCCAAAATCTTCCCAGAAAAGAATGTACACCCCTCCCATCCAGGTGGCTGCGCGCGCGCGCGCTCACACACACACACACACACACACACACACACACACACAGACAAGCCCTGGGGGGGTTAGGGGGTTCTTCCACTTGAGCGCCAGCGGAAGGGAAGGGAGGGGGTGCGCGCAGATCAACTTCTTACCTAGTTCGCAGAGTCGGCTAAGGTGATGGGGGTTGCAGCACACCAGCTCGGGGTTGATCTTCCCGTAAGATTCACAGCAACACAGCCTCTTGACTTCCGAGGAATGCCTGAGATCCGGCCACCTGAACACTTTGCACAGCAGGAGGGGGAGCGAGTAGGACGAGGGCGGCTGCGCGGGCTGCGAGCCGGCGGGCGCCCCCAGGCCCAGCCTGCAGTCCAGGCGGCCGGGCAGCAGGAGGCACGCGGTGCGCGTACCGCCGCGGGACTCCACGGCCTGGAGCAGCAGCTCCAACTGCCGTTCCTTCAGTTTCTTGAGCACCGAGTGCGTGAGCGCCTTCAGATCCGCCTCGGAGCCCCCGGCCGCGCCGGCGCCCGTGGCTGGGGGGTGGGGATGGTGGTGACCTTTGGCACCTCGGACCGCCTTGCCCAGGCAGCAGCCAGCCCTGCCCGCGCCGCCGCCACCGGCCCCATGTGCCCGGCCGGCCGTCGCCCCTTCTCCCCGCAGGTCGCCTCCTCCTCCGCCTCCCCCCGCGCCCTCCTCCTCGTCCTCGCCGCCGGGCGCACGGCTCCTCCAGAGACGCCGGACGAGCGCAGATCGTTTGGTCCTGAACATGCGGGGCGAGGAGGCGAGGAGAAAAGTCGTTTGCCGGCTAAGGAGCGAACATGACCTCCGCACACCATGAAGAAGTCGGGCGCCGAGTTGGGGCAGCAGGCGCAGGCGATAGCAGCAGCAGCAGGGGCCCGGGCAGGAGCGGCGGCGGCCCGAGGGGCGCTCCGTGGCATGCGCCAGTCTCCCGGAGGCCGGGGCGCGCGCGGGGGCCCGGGGGCGCCCGCCGGGGCTCGGGGGCCTGCGCTCTGGCTGCCCCACCCCGCGCGGCCCGCGCCGTGCGCGGCTCTCCGGCCCCGGAGCACCCCGGAGGAACGCGGCCGCCGCTTCCCTGGGGGCGGCGAAGCCTACCCCGGTCGGCGCCTCCCAAAAAAGAGGCCCCCCCGCAGCGGCTCCCGAGAGTCGGGCTCGCCAGCCTCGGCTTTCTACATGGAAGATCCGCGGGGGCAAAAAAACGAAAGGCGTTCGGCTGGGCTGCTGGAGGGAAGAAAAAGCCTCTTTCCCCCTTGCTAAGCAACTTAATTTGGGGGTGGGGAGAACAGGCAATTAAAAAAAAAAAAAAGCAGGCACGCGATTTATTTTTTTCCTCTATATCCTTAGTAACCGGATCTCCTCGAATTCCGTGCACACGAAGACTCGGGGGAGGGGGCCGAGTGGACTTCACCCCGCATGAGATGTCTGGCGAAATAGGAAGGCTCTCAAAAATCTAAGAACCAAATATGCAAAGCCCAAAATGAAAAACACCACCTCCTCGCACCCCCGGAGGTCTGGGGGCGTCCGGCTGGAGCTAAGGTTTAAAAAAAGAAATGTTTACAAAGTAAAACAAGACGTTTGAGGGGTGGAAAAAAACGTATCCACGAGTTACATCCCCCTCTTTTCCTTACAGAGCCCCGCTGGTCTTCCTCTCCTTTTCTTCTGCCAAGGAAAAAAAAATCGTATATTTTTTTAATCCACAGAAAGGTCTGGCTAGGCTGTTTCAATCCGCGGCATCTGGGTGTTTCAGGGGAGTCTGGTCTTTCCTCCTGCGCTCCCGGGGGCCCCGGTCCTCGGCGGGGACTTCCTCGGGGCTGGCGGGGGCGCAGGGGCAGAAGATGCTGCGGCGGCGGCGGCAGCGGCTGCGCCCGGCGGGGCTGACAGCGCGGGGGAGGGCGGCGCGGCGGCGGCGGCGGGCCCCTGGCGGGTCGCGCGCTCTCGCCCTCCTGGGCGCAAGCTGTTCACTGACGCGGGGGCCGCCGGCGCCCCCTCCCCTAGCCGCGCCTGGCCGCCGGGACTCCCCGCAGGAGCTGCTCGCCCCGACCCGGCTGCGGCGGCAAGGAGGCCCGGGTGTCCTCACGCCGCCTCCTCCACCGAGACTCTCCTCGTCTCGCCCGGGAGCCTCCTTGTCCCCCGTCCGCCCTCTCCTGGCGCTCGGGTCCTTCTGCCGCCGCCGGGGGCTCGCCGCGCCCCACTCAGGGTCTCCGGGGCCGGACGCTAGGCAGCTCGGCGCCGGCGGGCTGGCTCTGTCTCGGGCAGCTCTCTCCCGCGCGGCGAGCGGACCGAGCACGGCGCCCGGCTGGCTCGGCTGGCGCAGCTCGGGGACAGGGTGCTCCGTGCGCCGAACGAGTGAGCGAGTGTGCCCGCGGCTCGCCGCCTCCCGCAAGGCCTCCCGCCCCCGCCCCCTTACCTCCCCCTCCCCCCCCCCCCGCTCCCCCGCCCCCCCCCCGCCCCGGCGGCGCCCCCGGCCCCGGCCTCGTCACGTGGCCGTCTAGACACCCTGTCGCTTTAAAAAAAAAAAAAAAAGCGATTGTGTTTCGCAAACAACAGATCGGGTTTCTAAAAGCTATTTCTCCCCCCGCCCCCCCGCCACCGCCACCCCCTCCCCGGTCTGCAGAAGGGGGACCATGGTGAGGGGGGTGGGTAAAGGTGGGGAGCCTTGCAGCTCCCAGAATCGATTAGCCCTGGCAGGATCAGAGGAGAAATGGGAAGACCCGACAGCACCGAGCGGGCTTCGCCGGCAGGTTTTGGAGCGGAACGAACCGGTCGGTGGCTCGATTTAGACCCAGCCCGGGAAGCTTAGCGGTGGCTGTCCCGCGCGCGCTCGCCCTAGCGCTTCATTCATTCGTTTTGTTTTAAAGGCCCTGGCGGCGGATCCCCTGGCCGCGCGGGAGGGAAGGGGGAGGAGAGCGCTGTCTCCGTTTAGAAGACATTTACACCGGACTGGACCCAGGCCCTGGGAAGTGTGCGCTGGAGGGAACAGCCGGGCCGCCGAGGACGGGGAGGCGGCGCGAATGTGACCTCAGCGGCGGCCGCGCGCTCCCTCCCGCCCTCTCCCGCTCTGGGCTCGGGTTTCTAGGACTGCCTGGAGAAGTGTGTCTTGTGCACAGCTCTGGAATGCATTTGGCAGGCTGACGGGCTGCGAGGGGCAGCATCCAGGCGGGAGAAGGGGCGGGGGCGGGGGCGGGGGGGGGGCGCTCTTCAGCCCGCCGCCGGCAGGTTTCCTCCGGAGCCCGGAAGACCTCCGGCACCCCGCCTCCCGACGCGGGAAGGTTACCTTTCCTAGCCGACCTGCCTGGGGCATGCATATGCATGCAGGGCCTGTTTCTGAGCCCTTCTCGGCCCGAAGCTTTCAAGGTGCTTAGGGTCATAGAGTTTATCGCCTGACCCCACGTTCGGGAGAAGCACAGACCCAGCTGGCAGGTTACTGCAAGGAAATGGGTAAGGCCTCGGAACGCACAGGACCAAAATGCGTTTATTTCGTGAAAGCTGATGGTACTGAGAAGAGAAATGATTTAAATATATACACATCACTATTGACGAGGCCACTAGTTGGCATGGTGATCTAACCTCACAAATTATTCAGTGAAATAAAAATTTTTTAAAGTCATTTACAATTGTACTATCCGTACAATAATAAAACTCATGGGGATGAGATGAACGACGAATCCTTGTAAAAGGTAAAACGTACTATTTTCATTACCCCAGCTAAATTATACGTTCTTAGAAGGAAAAGGGATAGATAAATCTTAGCTTTACAGCCCCTTCCCGTCCAGCAACTTCAGAGGCCCATGATTTACCATACATCCTTAGTAAACATTTAGGAATCAATTCAGGACAACACAAAGGGGCATTTGGATCACTCCCCCCAAATGTAACAAAAGCACCTTTGGAGGTAAAAATGTGAGAGAAAATCAGCAACATTGATTACACGATCATCTCCAGGGAAGGGAGTCCTGAAGCTTATTCACGGTCGCAGAAATGTATGCAGGAGAGAGCAGAAGCTGGCATTCTAAACATTTACTTTGCAGCCACATAGCTGCAGTTGTATAAGATCATAATTTTATTGTAAATAAAAATGTTGCCTATTGAAAATGGCACTGACACTGTGGGGGTGGGGGGTGACTTTGTAAAGAAGCACCTTGCAAAGACAGCAGCCAAGAAAGCCCAGAAGGAAATGGTCGGAGGGGAGGTTTGGCTCTGGGCGATCCTATTATCACAGGTGGGAAAGACAAAAGAGACAGAAACCAGATTTCTGGGAAATGTATAATATAACTCATCTTAGAAAGGCTTCTTAAGAATCCCAGACTGGAAGTCAGAAAACCTGGTTCCAGGCTGGGGCTCTGCCCTCCTTGTGCAATAACTTGCACCAGTGGGGATCCTCACGTTCCACTTACACTTGGCAGGGATTAAAAAGCTTTCTGGCAAGTTTCCTGCCCTCTCAGGGTCCCATTCCTTCTCTGGGCTCTGGGCCTCGCTGGAAGATCTTTGCTTTTCAAGAGAGGCTAGGCAAGGCTGCAAAGCGACAAGAAGACATAAGTAAACAGAGAAATCAAATGTCATAATTCTAATGAACCATCTCCGCTAAGTGGAGAACGGGCAGAGTCTTTGAGAAATCTGGCCAGTGGTGCCAATACTCCGTGATGAGAGGCCAGAGCACACACACAGGGCAGGTATGCTTAGTGGGTGTTTCAGGAGCTGAATCTGACGTCACGGCTTGTCTGAGTAGAACATGCATATACTTGCAGAGCTATGTTCCCATATAGTGTAATTGTGGGTGTTTGAATTCAGGCGTCGCCTCTGCCTTACCCTCTGTAACACGGCTTTCGTCCATTTTACTACCCCAGGTAGATGACGGGTGGGATGAAGGACAAGTTAGCTACAGTGAATGATTGGTCCTGCTTTATGGCTCCCGGGCATCCCCTGAATCAGTCGACATCCCCAAGCCTTCCTGAGAACCAGCCCCACCCCGCAGCATTCTTGTTCCTTTCCTTTCCAAGAAAGAAGCCTGGCCATGGAGGACCTCCTGGCTGGCTGGTGTGCCTAGAAAGGGAGTTCCTTTCCTTTCCACCGGAGCAAATGAGACCGACAAGCACCCCGTTTCAAACTATTCTGATCCTTAGGGGGGAAAAAAAAAACCAAGAAAGAAAAAAAGTTTAGGAGTTCACCAAACTATTGTGAATGAGTTTGATTCTAATCACTTGCTGGCAGGGAATATGGAATAAAATCTCTCATTTGCAGTTGTTTATTTCCTGTTGTGGCTTCTATTTTCATCTTTTAGTCACTTTGGTGATAGTAATCAAACCCTAATCACGGTGCAGCCACAAGTCACAGAGACCAAAATAACTTGCAGCAGAGTTCTGACAAACAAGGACGGAGTCAGCTGAAGACCTGGCTACTTCATCACTGGCCGCCAGGCCCCGGAGGACGGCGGGGGCTGCCACTTGACTGACCGCCCGGCTGAGCATCTAGAGGCAGGAGGAAACCGGAGGGAAGCTGGTCCAAGGCCCCTGGGCTCCCAGCAGTCGGGGCCCGGGCGTGCACGAGGAAGACCTGCCGCCCAGCGGCGGACGCAGAGGAGAAGCAAGCGGACCCTCCACACTGTCAGGGGAGGGAAAGAGGGAATGAAAGGGACTCTGCCAACTCCACACCTACAGGCATCCGTCCACTGAAGCCAGCTTCTTCCTTTCCGTCCTTTCCTCATCACCGGCGGTTCGGGGAAGAGAGGAGCCCAGAGGCCCCAGAGCACATGTGGGTGGGTGTGCGCTGTTAGGGCTGAGGACAGGGGTGAGGCAGGGAGGAGGATTTTCTTCTAGCAGAAGCCAAAAGAAGAAACCGTTGAAGAGGCCAAGAAAGTGTTGGAAAATATCGACATTTCTTGCACAACCGTCCCCTGAAAAATGTGTGAGTGAGCTCGAAACCATCCTGAGCTGGCAGCAGGACAGATGGAAGCCATGGTTCATGCACGGAAGACCGCACGGGTGAGGCCGATGCGATGAGCAGCACTTCTTGGCTTCTCTTAGAAGAGCAAGAATGTAAGTGAATGAAAATGCATCTAATTCACAATCCAATAGAGATGTGATACGCCCCAACTCATCAAATATTCCTGCAGCACAGACACGCTGTCAGCTGATCCATACCGTTTGCCAGAATGAGAAGAACATCGTTATGGAGGAATGAGAGAAACATCCAGAAAAAGTAAAGATCAAGAACCACAGAGCCATCCAGATACGTGGTCGTGTAGGGGATATGGTTTCTTCCAGGGAGGGGCACCGCCGGCCAGCAGAGCTGGCTGGGAAACCACCGCAGAGAACTTTCTGTACCTTGATGAGTTTGGCACCACGTGAATATGTTACTTATTCAAAAAAATACAGATTTCACAATTTATTATTTTTTAAAGATTTTATTTATTTATTTAACAGACAGAGATCACAAGTAGGCAGAGAGAGAGGAGGAAGCAGGCTCCCTGCTGAGCAGAGAGCCCGATGCGGGGCTCGATCCCAAGACCCTGGGACCATGACCTGAGCCGAAGGCAGAGGCTTTAACCCACTGAGCCACCCAGGCGCCCCTTCACGATTTATTATTATTATTTTTTAGGAATCTCTGCCTGCTTTTCTCATTTCCTGAAATTTGCTGTTCTGATGTCCTTGTAGAAAAAGGGCTAGTTGGCAAGGTCCCACGTGGAAGTGAGGCCGCAGACAGCTTCTCTCTCTGTGGGGCAGTTACTACAGGAAGGCCGATGACAACAGAGGCCAATGTGTCATCCCAGACAGCATGCGTGGAGGCTGCCTCATCATGACCCTGGCAGGAGTCAGTGAGGAAACACGCCAGTCCTAATCA